GCTTTTGGGGGTTTTCTAGACTTCTTCCTGTGATTGATTTCAAGTTTCATAGTATTGTGATATGAAAGTGTGCATGGTATGATCTCAATTCTTTTACTTATTGAGGGCTGCTTTATGTCCCAGTATGTGATCTATCTTGGAGAATGTGCCATGTGCACTTGAGAAGAAAGTGAATTCCATGGCCTTAGGATGTAGAGTTCTAAATATATCTGTCAAATCCATCTGGTCCAATGTATCATTTAAGTCCATTGTGTCTTTATTGATTTTCTGTCTAGTTGATCTGTCCATTGTTGTAAGTGGAATATTAAAGTCCCCTGCTATTAGCACGTTCTTATTGATAAGACTGTTTCTGTTTGTGATTGTTTTATGTATTTAGGTGCTTCCATATTTGGTGCGTAGACATTTATAATTGTTAGCTCTTCCTGATGGATAGACCCTATAATCATTATATAATGCCCTTCTTCATCCCTTGTTACTGTTTTTACTTTAAAGTCCAATTTGTCTGATATAAGTATAGCTACTCCAGCTTTTTTTTTTTACTTCCAATAGCATAATAGATATTTCTCATCCCTTTACTTTCAATCTGAAGGTGTCCTCCAGTCGAAAATGAGTTTCTTGTAGACAGCAAATAGATGAATTTTGTTTTTTTATCCATTCTGCTACTCTATGTCTTTTTATTGGGGCATTTAGCCCATTTACATTCACTGTTATTATTGAAATATATGGCTTTAGAGTCATTGTGTCATTTGTGGGATTCATACTTGTGGTGATATCTCTAGTATCTTGAGTTCCTTGCAACATTTCCCTCAGAGAGTCCCCCTCAGGGTTTCTTGTAGGACTGGTTTAGTGGTGACAAATTCTTTCAATTTTTGTTTATTTGGAAAGACTTTTCTCTCTTCTTCTGTTCTGAATGACAGGCTTGCTGGATAGAGGATTCTTGGCTGCATATGTTTTCTGTTCATCACATTGAAGATCTCCCGCCATTCCTTTCTGGCCTGCCACGTTTCAGTAGATAGGTCTGTCACCACTCTGATAGGTTTCCCTTTGTATGTTAGGGCCCCTTTCTCCCTAGCTGCTTTCAAAATTCTCTTTGTCCTTATATTTTGCCAGTTTCACTATGATATGTCATGCAGAAGATCGATTCAAGTTATGTCCGAGGGGGGTTCTCTGTGCCTCTTGAATTTCAACGTCTACTTCCCTCCCCAGGCTGGGGAAGTTCTCTGCTATAATTTGTTCCAGGACTCCTTCAGCACCTTTCCCTCTCTCTTCCTCTTCTGGGATTCCTATGATATGGATATTGTTCCATTTGATTGTATCGCTGAATTCTCGAACTCTTCTTTCATGTTCCTGGATCAATTTATCTCTTTTTCTCGGTTTCTTCTTTTTCTATAATAGTGTCTTCTAAATCACTTATTCTCCTCTCTGCCTCTTCAACCCATGCATTGGACGCCTCCAGTTTATTATGTATCTCATTTATCACATTTTAAAATTCATCATAACTATTTTTAAGCTCCATAGTGTTTGTAGCCATAGTTTCTCTGATGTCCTGCATGCTTTTTTTCAAGCCCGGTGATTAATTTTATGATTATTGTTCTAAATTCTTGTTCAGTTATTTTGCTTATATCTGTTTTGAGCAGTTCTTTAGCTGTCAGTTCTTCCTGGAATTTCTTTGGAGGAGAGCTCTTTTGTTTCATCATTTTGGTTAGCTTTCTATCTCATGTTAGTTTTAAAAGCTTGTTATGCACTCTGCACCTGTGAGCACTGCTGTACCAAGGAAGGCCCTTTGACTGTCCAGGGCCTGTCCATTCAGAAAGTATTCTTTGAATGGTATCTCTTGGTCTCTCCTGTTGAGACCTTGGTTATTTTATTTTCCTACTCGTAGTGGTATTTGGGAGTCTCCACCATGTGTACTTTGGCTTGTTTCTTGAGGTAGCCCTGGAAAAGAAAACAGACAAACACACAGAAAACAAAGGCACACAAACCACAGACAAATCCAACAAACTCGCAAACTGAAAGGGAAAACGAAAAAGAAAAAAGAGGAAGGAGGGAAGGTGAATAATCAGAGATAAAAATACATAAAAAAAAAAGAAAAGGAAAAAAGAAGAAACCCAATAGACAACAGTTTAAAGCATATAACCATATTTCCCAGCTACAAATAAATAGCTGGGTGTATGCAGTGCTCATGGAAGAGCATAGAGAATGAGAGAGATGACAGGGCAGGGATGAAGTGAAATTGGAAATGAAATGAGCAGGCAGAAGGAATAAGAGGATTTTTTCAAGAGCGAAAGAGTGGAATATGGTTGGAGAAGAGGCGAAAGAAATGATGATGATGCAATCCAGAGAAAGTATATAGTCTGATTACTCCAGAGAGAAAGAGATGAAAAGGTAGGTAGGTGTAAAAGTTACATCTAGAGAATGGATTAAATGTGACTGTTTAAGCAAGCCAGTGACCAGAATTAATCAGGGCTGTGCATCCATCTTGGTATTGCCCTGGCTCTGGTAAAAAAAAAAAAAAAAAAAAAAAAAGGAAGGGGGCAGCTCTCTAGTAGGAATGGGCATGGTTTGATCCAGTGTGTCCCACGGGAGTCCTGCCTTGGTAGTTGTGAGTAGAAGAGTGGCAGTGCCCCAGTCCCTTCTTGAACAAAGCGTTGCACCTCACTTTTTTGGGTGTGTAAACTCCCTGTGCCGGAGGGCGTAGCCAAGGTGGACCATGCTCTATATCCCAGGCCAGGCCTCATTTCCAGATCTCAGTCCACTCGTCCCATTGAAATTGCCAGAAATGAAAACTCGCCGGCGAGCCCCTCACGGCAGTTATCCCCCCTGGGGATCGAGCCAGAAGCCACTGCTCCTGTCTCCTTCAGGTCGAGCTGATGAGCGGGGAGCAGTTTCCCCAGGGGTCACCTGGGAAGAGTGCGTCCTGCCTAGGGTCAGCTGGAGAGCAGGAAACTAGATCCCTCGGTGTGGTGTCCCTAGCGGAGGTTTTTCTCTTCTCCAGCGACAGAGACAGTGTCTTGAGCAGTTTCGGCCACTCTTTTCCCCGCCAGACTCACTTCAGCTCCCCACAGAAGGGGATCCCCCTCCATCTGTGTCTCTGGTCCCCACCCGATTTTATCTTCCCCAGTTCGCACTCACGCTAGAAGGTTTTCTCAGTGGACTCTGTCTCCTTTTCCTCCCAAACTCCTGGATTCTGTAAGGGTTCCTATGGCTTCAGGCCTTCTCCGTGTGAGATATGGAGGCAAGTGAAATGTACGGAGCTCCCTACTTCTCTGCCATCTTGCCGCTCTCCTCTACCATGTTGTTTCACTAAGTTAGTAATGTTTGAACACGCATGCATGGAAGTATAAGGTAAGTGGTATACACTTAACTCAGTGAAAGAACACTGTGGAGAATGCATCATTCAACTAACATCATGTTTCACTGGGTTCGTAGGATTATGAACAGATGCAGATACCAATGAGGGAAGTGCAGTGTGCCCAACTCTCTGAAACAACACTGCGGAGTAAATTACTCAGGTACAACCTTGTTTCACTAAGTGAGTATTGTTAGAAAACACATGCCTGGAGGTATATGGAAAATGTTATATTCTCAATATTGTGAAAGAACACCGTGGGGAATGCATCATTCAACAAAGGTCATCTTTCACTATGTTAGGAGTGTCAGAATAGGGAGTCGGAGCCCAAGGACGGAAGTGCAGTGTGCTCAACTCTGAAACAGCACTGTGTGGAATAGAGTCTTCACTTCCAAACTTGTTGCTCTAGGTTAGTTATGTGTGAAAACTCATGCATGGAAATATAAAATGACTGTTGTATGCTCACCTCTGAGAAAGAAAACGGTGGGGAACCCATCATTCAACTATCATGTTTCACTGTGTTAGTAGTGTTAGAATACACACAAAGAACAATGAGGGAAGTAGTATGTGCTCAATTCTGTAAAACAACACTGAAGAACGCAGCATTCAGTTACCATGTTGTGGCACTAAGTTATTAAGGTTTGAAAACACATGCATGGAAGTATAAGCTCAGTGTGATATACTCAACTCCGTGAAAGAACACTGTGGGGAACCCATCATTCAACTACCATCATGAATCCCTAGGTTGGTAGTGAATAAAAATAAATGCTGAGACCAATGAAGGAAGTGCAGGGTGCTCGACTCTGTGAAACAACACTGTGGGGAACCCATCATTCAACTACCATCATGAATCCCTAGGTTGGTAGTGAATAAAAATAAATGCTGAGACCAATGAAGGAAGTGCAGGGTGCTCGACTCTATGAAACAACACTGTGCGGAATGCAGCATTCAGTTACCATGTTGTTTCACAAAGTTGGTAATGTTTGAAAACACATGCATGAAAGAATAAGGTAAGTGTTATATACTTAACTCTGTGAAAGAACACTGGAGAATGCATCATTCAACTGTCATCATCTTTCACTAAGTGAGTAATCTTAGAATACAGTAGCAAAGACCAATGAGGGAAGTGCAGTGTGCTCAACTCTGTGAAACGGTACTCTGCAGAATCCAGCATTCAGTTACAATTTTGTTTCACTAAGTTGGTAATGTGTAGAAACTCCTGCATGGAAGTATAAGATGAGTGTATATACTCAACTCTTTGAAAGAACACTGTGGGAAACGCATCATTCAGCTACCATCATGATTCCCTAGGTCGATAGTGATTGAAAACAAATGCTGAGACCAATGAAGGAACACAGAGTGCTCGACTCTATGAAACAACACTGTGTGGAATGCAGCATTCAGTTACCATGTTGTTTCACTAAGTAATGTTTGAAAACATGCATGGAAGTATAAGGTAAGTGTTATTGAGTTGAGAGTTTCTGAGTTAAATGACCTTTGTCAGGGTCACAGGATCAACCATTCTTCCAATTCTTCCATTGGCTGTTCAGTGAGGCAGAGCGGAGGTTTGCTTAGGCAGGAAGGACTACAACTCCCAGAGTGCCCCTGTGCAGTTGTCAGGAGCAACCAAAGAATGCAGACTAACAGCCCTGTGGAGTAAGGATTAAACAAGGACTGACTGCCTTTCCTGCCAGCCATGGGTCAGGATTATTACTCTGTGCTCCAGATCACTCGCAATTCAGAGGATGCCCAGATCAAGAAGGCGTAAGTTGGAGCGGGAGTGAGCCTTTAGGGGTGTGCTGGGAAGACCCCACCTTTATCTCTTCCAAACTGAGCTTTCTTGCACAGCTAAGGGCAGGCAAGATAAACTGTGTTCCTTCTGTTGCTTCCTGCATGCCTACAGCCTGGCATGAGTCAGTGCTCCCAATCCATCATCCTTAACCCCCATTCCCTGTTTCCCCTCCTGGTACCTCTCGTTTTCCTAGCAGTGAAAATCGGAACAATGAAGACATTTGAACTTTTTCCTGAATACTATGCTGAACCAAAGGATTGAGATCAGGAGAGTGACCTGGCCGGATGAGCTGGATGTGTTTCAAATTTTATTCTGGCTGTCATATGAGTTCTTTTTTTTAAGTAGGCCTTTTTTTTTTCAAGTTTATTTATTTATTTTGAGAAAGCACACAAGTGGGGGAGGAGGGGCAGAGAGAGAGAGGGAGACAAGAAGTAGGTTTCTTCTTAAGTAGACTTTGTGCCCAGCTCAGAGCCCAACACAGGGCTTGACCTCAACCCTGAGATCAAGACCTGAGCCGAGATCAAGAGTTGGGTGCTTAATCATCTGAGCCACCCAGAGTTTTTGATGTTGAACTGCATCTCTCAATTCTTCCATTAGGTCTTGGAGACTTTGTGGTCCATTTCCAAGAAAGACTAGGACAGGAGTCAGTATATTTTTTCTGAAAAAGTTATGGTTGTTTTTTTAAATAATGAGTGCTTATCCGGTAGGTGCAATGGTAGCACCTGGAGATATAATCATGAATCAGACAGACATGTAGCTTAATTTTGTTGGTGAATACAGATGTTGAATAAGTCATAACAGGTTTGATGGGTGTTACAGAAGAGAAAGTTCAGGATGCTGTGGAAGCCTATATCAGGAGAGAGACCCCTTCAGAGGCCACCATGATAATTAAGGCAGAAGATGGAGCTTGAAGCAGGAAAGTGGGCTGGGGAGAGGGGAGAGGATGGACTTGGCTATTAACTGGATCATTGGAGGGTAAAAAAAAAGGGAGGAGTCTAGAATAATATGTCAATGAGGGTTGGGTAGTGATACATTATTGAATGTACAGATGCTGTTCTGAGAACCTTCCATCATTGTTTTTTTTAATCCTTACAACAACCCTGAGAGGTAGGTGGTATTATTATCCCAAGGCCATGTGCCTAGTAAATGGCAGATATTCAGATATAACTCCTACCTCAAGGGTCAGGTGCTATAGGGGATTTATGTGGGATAAGTGGAGAGAGTCTACAGTGTAGTTAGAGATACAAAACACAAACTCATGAGACAATTAGAGAACAATTCAGTGTGTGATGTCACTCACTGTTGAGAACATCTTGGCCAGTGGCACTCATCTAGGGAAAGGTCACAAGGAGTTGGAGTGCAGAAAGATAAGCCCAACTTAAGCACTGGAAAGACCCAGGTCTGAATCCAGGTTCTCCTACCTGCCAGCTGTGTGACATGGACAAATTAACTTCTCTGAGCCTCAGTTTTCCCATCTCTAAAATAATAATAATTATTTTAAGGGTTGTTGTGGGATTGGTATGAGATTATATGAGATAATGAACATGGAATGCCCAGCAATCATTTGCACCTGAAAAAAACGTGACATATAAAGAATGATTGGGGCACCTGGGTAGCTCATTTGTTTAAGCATCCAACTCTTGATTTTGACTCAAGCCATAATCTCATGGTTCATGAGATGGAGTTCTCTGTGCTGGGTGTGGAGACTGCTTGGGATTCTCCCTTTCTCTTTCCCTCAAAAATAAATAAACATTTAAAGAATTATTAAAAGAACCTCATGTTTCAAACAATAGTTCTTTTTAAAGAAATGTTTATTTATATTTGAAAGAGACAGAGAGTGAGTGGGGAAGGGGCAGAGAGAATGGGAGACACAGAACCTAAAGCAGGCTCCAGGTTCCGAGCTATTAGCACAGAGCCTGATGAAGGGCTTGAACTCACCAACTGCGAGATCACGACCTGAGCAGAAGTCAGACACTTAACCAACGGAGCCACTCAGGCACCCCCTGTTTCAAACATAGTTCTTAATTCTTCTCTCTTGTAACAGTTCTAAGAGATGAATCACATGTATAACACAGTCTCCCATTTGGGAGTAACTAGATTTTGACAAAACAAAAAATGCGGGAGCACCTTGGGTGACTCAGTTGGTTAAGTGTCCAACTTCATTCAGCTCAGGTCATGATCTCATGGTTTGTGAGTTTGAGCCCCAGTTTGAGCTGAAGCTTGCTTCAGAATCTGTGTCTCCTACTCTGTCTGCCCTCCCTTGCTTGCACTTTGTCTCTCTCTCTCAAAAATAATTAACATAAAAAAATTTTTTTTAATGCTGAATGTATATAATGAAGAAAAGCACCACAAAGATTCCTAATTGCTTAGCTGTTAGCCTTCTCAGTAGATCTCATTAAGCCTAGCCTGCTGCTGCATCTAAGCTGTGACTCCACTCCACCTTGCCCACTCAGGGAAACAGAGTGAGGGCACTGCCGGGAAAATCTTAAAACCACTCAAGTTTAGGGGCGCCTGGGTGGCTCCGTTGGTTGAGCATCCGACTCTTGATTTCAACTTGGTCATGATCTCAGGAATGTGGGATTGAGCCCCCTGTTGGCCTGGGTAGGGAGCCTCCTGAAGATTCTCTCTCTCTTTGCACCACCCCCCCCCCCCATGCACTCTCTCTCTCTAAAACAAATAAAACAAAAAACTCCACAAAACCATTCAAGTTTATATGAAAAATAAAACTCTTCTCAAACCAACTTACTTTTTCTCATTGATAGAACTTACTTGCTATTCTCCCCATAACTGACTTTGACCTTTGTAACTGAGAAGGGCTGGCTTCAACATCTCAGGGAAGTGATGACAATTGTTTTTAAGTTTCTGGTGGTAGACAATGTAGATAGTCCCCGTAAGGCCTCCAGAGGCTGAATCAGGACCTTCAGAGTCACAGGACTTCAGGTCTCACTCTGTAAGATGAGATGTTGCCTAAAAGAGCGGTCCCACAGTGAGATGGGCTGCCTTGGGGGACAGTTAGTTCATGTCATTCATTTCTTCACTGTCGCTTAGTGCTAGGCACCAGGGACACAGAGAACTAGACATGGCAACTCAAAGAACGGAGGCTAGTGGGAGAGACAAACCAGTCAACAAACAACTGGAATGTCAAATGCTAAGTTTAGGGATCAAAGGCACTGGGGACTCGGGAAGGGGAGTCTAACCTAGAATGAAGAGTGCAGTCAGGAAGGTATCCTGGAGGAGGTGACCCCTGAGTTGAGTGTTGAAAGATGAATGAAAATGCGCCAGAGGGAGATGGGAGGCTCTGGAGAGTGGTGGGTGTTACAAGTGAAGGGAGTAGAATGCCAAAGACCTGAGCAATGCATTATAGGGAGTTTGGAGCCTGGCCAGCAAGGCAGGGGAGGTCATGGGAGTGGGGACAGACAGCAGTGAGTGAGAAAGCCATAGAGAGAAGCAGAGGCTTGAATCTTAGAGATTTGGATTTTATGCCGAAGTCAAAGAGAAACCAGTGGAGGGATCTGGGCAGCCGAGTGACTTGGCCAGGGGCCATTTCAGAAGCATCTGATTAAAAAGGACAGATCAATCTAGGTGCAGAAAGGCCTGGAGAGGGAGAGCACTGGAAACAGGAAGCCATGGATCTGCAATAGTGCTAGGGATGAAGGGGTAGAAAGAGAACATTGGGGAGAAAGAAAGAAAAAGTGACACACCCTGGTGATGGGTAGGCTGGGAATAGAGGGGACGAAGAACTTGGGAGTTGATAATGCTCAGCTTCTTGGCTGTAGTGCCTGAGAATATGGGCAAAAACTTAGGGAATGAAAATGTGTTTCTGTCTGGGCTCATTGAGTTTGTGGGGGCTGTGGGACATTAGAGAGCAGATACCAAGATGGCAGCCGGATGCCGAGGTCTGGAGCTCAGTAGCCTGGTTTTAGATAGAGATTTGAGAGTGGTCAGCAGGTTGGGTGGTGCCCAAAGCCTTGGGATAGATGAGCTTGTGTGGAGTAAGAAGTGAAGCAGCGGAAGGCATCACTAGCATGCAGGGTGTGAGCAGAGTAGAGGAAGTGCATTCTGACCCAGTGGAGGGTACATGGGTCTGATTTGTACTGAGCCACTCAGGGGGCAGTGCTGATGCCCTCCTTTGGCTCCTTCAGGCCCACTCCCCACCTTTCTGCACCCTGCTGTCTGTGCTGGAAGCTGGCCCATCTGAACCGCATCAATAGACACCCTGGCGCTCAGACTTCCTAATGAAAGCTAAAGAGAGCCCACAGCAGGTGTTTGGCAAGGAGGTGAGTGGGGCTGGGGTGTTTATTCCCAGCTCCCTTCCTATGAGAGCTCTTCAGGCTGGCTGTGTCCCTTACCTGAATATGACAGCTCCTGCCAAGGGCCCCATCCACACACTCTCCTGTGGGATTTCGTTAACTTATCCTTCCCCACTCTATAGGCTCAGGGTGGCCAGGGTGACTCAGGGCTCCTGGCTTTGAGCTACAGCACTGCCCAGTGTGATTATCCTCCCTACCTCCTACACTTTGGTGAGTGACCCCCTATTTAACTCTCCACAAATCACCCAGTTCATGCCAGCTCTTCCTCTCAGAACACTGATGATACAGATTGTCAGATGCTGTAGGCATTACATCACGGAGCGATGGGATTGGATAGATACAGAATCAGGAAAAGGAGTGAGCACAGAAGTGAGAGGCAGTGAAGGGACCTGACCTGTGCCAGTGCCTCTCTCTGTCCCAGGTCCTTTGACACCCTGTTTTACCGGATCTTCCCAAGAAGCCTGTGTGTAAGTTCAGATATCAAGACAGGATTCGATGTGCAGGAAATGTATTGGGGGAAACAGGTGTGAGGGTGAAGGGAGAGCAAGAGCGTGCAGGGAGCACCTTCAGACCCCAGTGCAGGTCTGATACCTGTGAAAGGGGAGCAGGAAGAAATGGCTGGATGGGGAGGGCTGTGGAGTGGTCTGGAGAAAAATAGCTGGGCTGATAGATGGGCATCCTGAAGCAGAGGTTGGTTGCGTGTTGGGGGGTTCTGTGTCCTAGAGGGATGCACCAGCACTAACATCCCCACCACGCTTAGGACTGGCTGGGGCAGCTTGAGGAAGTATAGCCTCAGCACAGACACTCAGGGCGGGCAGCTACGCTTTCGACCCACTGGGTTCTGTTCAAGGTCATCTGTGCCATGCGCCACCCTGGCCACCACAGCCTTGATTTTGTAGCTGGGGAACATCGAAGCGGTAGACAGCAGAGCCAGCTCTGAACCATGGTTTGTGCCTCAGGCCCATGTCAAATGCTATGCCTTGCATGAATCCTCCCTCCTCTAGGTACCGGAAACTGGCGCTTAAGAACCACCCGATGAAGTCCATTGAGCCATCCGCAGCAGAGACATTCATGCAAATCGCAGAGGCCTATGATGTGCTCAGCGACCGTGAGTGACTCCAGACATCTCCTCTGCCCCACCTCTACTTTGAGATCATTCCTTAAGTCTCTGGGTAGTCAGCATTCCTCTTCCCTGCCTCGAGCCTGAACAAACTTAGAAGGAAAACGGCATGATGAACTGCCTTTCTCCGTAGCCACCAACTAAGGTTGACACGGTGTGGAGAGCCCCTGGATTGAGATGATCTGCTCAGCCAGTCTCAGTAGAGCAGGACCTGGGGCAGGGCTCCCACACCCCCCACACCCCACCTGTCCTCTGCAGGGGTGCACACAGTGAGGTGCTTGCTGCCAAGGGAAGAAGGAGAGGCTGAGGCAGGCACGCCCGGTTACTCTTCCCAAATTACCAAATAGCTCCAGTGCCACCTCCCCATGGAGAGCATGTCTATCAAGGGGCAGAAGGAGGCCGGTGATTCAAGAATCTCCTGAAACCAAAAGAGTGCAGAAAGTGATCCCCCTGCACCTCTGCCCCAGGGTACTACCCGTGTGCATGTTCTTTTTTTTAAACATTTTTTAAAATGTTTATTTTTGAGACAGAGACAGAGTTTGAGTGGGGAAGGGGCAAAGAGGGAGGGAGACACAGAATCCGAAGCAGGCTCCAGGCTCTGAGCTGTCAGCACAGAGCCCGACATGGGGCTCGAACCCTCAAACCGTGAGATCATGACCTGAGCAGAAGTCGGACCCTCAACCGACTGAGCCACCCAGGTGCCCTAGAAGGCTTGTCCTAGAGACTGGAATCATGGATGCTGTGCAGAAGAATGGCCAGATCACTAAGATTTCTCCAGTCCTGAGTTTTCAGGACTTTAGAGTCCTTAGACTCTAAGCTTTTGAAACCTCTAGAATTTGGCAGCCCTAGAATTCTTAGATTCTAGAATTTCAAGGTACTAGGATTCTATTTACGCCAAATAAAACAGTGGCTATGATTGGGCATCTGGGTGGCTTAGTCGGTTAAGCGTCCAACTTCAGCTCAGGTCATGATCTCACGGTTTGTGAGTTTGAGCCCCATGTCCGGCTCTGTGCTGACAGTTTGGAGCCTGGAGCCTGCTTCAGATTCTGTGTCTCCCTCTCTGTTCCTCCCCCGCTCACACTCTGTGTGTATCTCTCTCTCTCAAAAATAAAAAATAAACATTAAAAAAAAACTGGCTATGATAATTAGTTTAGCCAAATTCTAGGGCAGTAGCCTCACCCTCAGTCTCTAGATCTCTCCTTCAATCCTCTTCCCACCGCCACCCAGGAAGTCTTCACCTTTCTCCATTCTCCTATGGGACCACACCTAGATCCACCCACAATGCAATTAAACCCCTGACTTTTAGGATCTCCCTCCAAAGAGTGCTAGACAGTAGGCACTTTAGAAATAAGGTTGCTTTTGGGGCGCCTAGGTGACTCAGTCAGTTAAGCGTCTGACTTTGACTCAGGTCATGATCTCACGGTTCTGGAGTTGGGGCCCCCATCAGGCCCTGTGCTGACAGCTCACAGCCTGGAGCTTGCTTCGGATTCTGTGTCTCCCTCTCTCCTCTGCCCCTCCCCCGCTCATACTCTGTGTCTCTCTGTCTCTCAAAAAATGAATGTTAAAGAAAAAAGGTTGCTTTTGCCCCTTCCTCTTTACCCTTTATCCACCTGCTTCCCAGCCCAGCAGCTTAGTCCCCAACGCTGGGCCCCTCATCAAGGTGATACATGTCCACAGCTGTGAAGAGAAGCATCTATGACAAGTTTGGAGAGGAGGGCCTGAAAGGCGGGATTCCTCTGGAATTTGGATCCCAGACCCCATGGACCACTGGTTACGTCTTCCACGGCAACCCTGATAAGGTTTTCCATGAGTTCTTCGGAGGAGACAACCCCTTTAGTGGTAAGAGGCCCCACCCACCCACTTGCGTTACCAGGAAAGGATGCAGCTGGGTTTCTTCGACTTTGTTTTGTTTATTTTAAAAATATATATAGTACATGGTGAAAAAAAATTATTAAAGAAATAATTCCAGACTTTATTCTTTCTACAGAAGCAGCCACTTGCTGTTAACAATTTATGTATCCTTATAGAAAATTTCTATGCATTTATGAGCATATACTTATCATTACCTAAGCCTTTTATCTTATGATGGAAATGGGACCATATTGTACACAATAGTTTTTTTTTCTTTTTTTTTAATGTTTTATTTTTGAGACAGAGAGAGAGAGAGAGAGACAGAGCATGAAAGGGTGAGGGGCAGAGAGAGAGGGAGACACAGAATCCGAAGCAGTCTCCAGGCTCTGAGCTGTCAGAAGAGAGCCCAACACGGGGCTTGAACTCATGAACCGTGAGATCATGACCTGAGTCGCAGTTGGACGCTTAACTGACTGAGCCATGCAGGCGCCCCCACACTAGTTTTTTTTCACTCTTGGAGATCATCTCATTATATACTATATTACATGTAGATCTACTTTATTGATTTTAATAGCTGCATTAGGTTTCATTGTACAGGTGTGTGTTAGGTGAGTACATGGATGGATGGGTGGATAATCCCAGGTCCCAGACAAACTGACAAAGAGTTGATTTCTGAGGCTCAGAGTCATCTCGCAAGGACAGTTAACCTTCCTTCAGACCAGTCTTCCTAGCTCTAGTTATGCAACTCAGAGAGTCTAGATTTTCACTGTCTGATCCCCTGCAGCCCCTACCCCAGGCTGTACTACAGTCTTTCTGCATTTCAAAAGTTCTCTTTTCCTTTTTCTGCATGTTAATAAGAAGTGGGCTAAAGCCCACTGACTCTTCCCCTCAGAGAACTCTCCTCTGTGCATTCCCTTCACCTGCCTGCCAGAGGAAGCTGAGTTTATAAACTCCAGGTATGACTGGAAAAGGCAGGGGACTTGGAGTTAGGTCTATTTCAAATCCATACACTGCCCCTTATGAGCTGTGTGATTCTGAGCAAATCTCTTCACTGCTCTGAAACCTCAACTTCCTTACCGTTAAGTGGCTGTAATGGTCCATCCCTCACACGTCATTAGCAAATAAGACAATGTTTATGAAAATGGGCTTTGTAGACTGAAAAATGCCATACAATGGACAAGTGCGTGGAAAAGAAACAGCTCTGCAGGGCCAAACCAGAGCTTATAGGGGCATTGCTTATAGGCTTTAGGGGCCCTCAGGCAGTGCCCCAAAACTTTACCGCTACAGAGCTTCATCCAGGGGATTCTTGTGTCCTGCAGGGCCGATGGACTAGACCTTCCTATGACCTGGCTGTTGGGGTGTCTACAGCCTGTACACCATAGGTGCTGGGTGGACAAATGAATTCAGTGATACAAGAGGGGACCAGGTCACTCACAGGCCTCTTGATTAGTTATTATATCATAGAGGGGCTTAGTGTGATGCTGCCCTGTCCTCCCCCACCTAAAGTCACTGTACCATTCTAGCCTGGGAAGTTCCTTCATGGCCCTAACCATAGGAGGCAGAGTACAAAAAATCTTAATTATGGTAGCAACCCTTGATTCTACAAAGTTTACGAAGGGTCTCACACGTAGCAATAAGCATATAGTCAAATTGTCCTGGGTTCAGATGGGCTGCGGGACTGTGAGCATTTTCTGTGGCCTCTCTGCCCAGTGAGATAATGGTGTGAAGAGGTGAAACCAGCACCTGATGCATAGTAAGCTGTCAGCAAGTTTCCCCTCTTCATCATCTTGTTATTTAATCCTAATGGTAGAAGGCAGATCAGGCATTATTACCCCATCCCACAGACAGAAAACCTGAAACCAAACGACTACGTAGCACTTCAAGAGACAAAGGCTCTTTGCACTGGATGGAAGGGCAGGGCAGCAAGAGGGCTTACGGGTGTAGAGCTGGGCAGGGAGAAAAGAAATTGAGGGAAAAAGAGTTTGGGGGTATGCTGATGAACTCTTAAATTTATTAGGAACCACCCCTTCCCTACCTCCCTGTCAGCTATTGACTTCATAGAAATTTGAGTCTGGGGTCTCTAGAGACCTTGGGCGGGGCTGGACAGTGAGAGAGAGTGGAGCCTGGGGAAGGGTAGGAAGGATTGAAATGCTATTACCTTCCCAGCAGCAAGGTAACAGCGGGGAGTTATTTCTGGCATACCAGGAGCTGCCACCAGAGGGCACTCCTCTCCATCCGGAGGCAGATAGCCTCAAGGAGTATCTCCCCAAATTTAGGGGGAAGGGAGTCAGGAAAGTGGGGGAATATAAACCAGATGATGAAGCAGTGGGAAGGTGGCAAGGAGTGATAATCAATGGATCTGCAATTTAGGACAACTTTTTGGCTCGGCCTAACGGTCTGAGTTTGCAAGATAGGAATGAGATGCTGGGTATTACACTTGGGGACTGAAGAAGTATGTGTGGAGGGGTGTCTGTCTATGTATCCAAGTCCCAGACACAATCTCTCTTACTCTTCTCCTCTCCTCACCTCCTGCAGAGTTTTTTGATCCAGAAGAATGTGAGGTAGATTTGAACTTCGGGGGTCTCCGAGGCCGAGGGGTCAAGAAACAGGATTTCCCAATCGAACGAGACCTCTATCTATCCCTGGAGGATTTATTCTTTGGCTGCACCAAGAAAATTAAGATCTCCAGAAGGGTGAGTATTTGGCTTGCTCCTACTGGGGGCCACTCCCTGTCCCCTCCAATCCTATGAGTCACCTCCTCTTTGCCCTCACTGAAGACCTCAGGTATGGCCTCTGATAGAATCATGAAATCTCAGAATTGAAGACCTAGGATCATAGAATTCTAGAATATGAAATTTGGAAGGGACAAATGAGGGTATTAGCCTGATTCTTTCCAGTGCAGGAATCCTCTCTGCAGAAGGGTCTTTCCCTTCTCAGTTCAGCCCCATCCCTTTGGGAAGCTGGGCTCTGAATGGGAGGAGTCTCTTGTGAATTCTGCCCTCTCGGTGTTACCAGACCATACCCCCAGGGCTTCATCAATGTGCATGCCTCATGAGTAAGAAGAAACAGTGTGGGCATGGAGGGTAGGCTTGGGGACAGTCCCCAAGAGGTTTGATCGAAGACCTTCAGTGCCCCAGAGTCCAGTCCTTGGGTTGACCCTGTCCCATGGCTCAGCCCTATGCTAGGCACATGAGCAAAGCCTCCTCACACCTTTGCCCAGCAGAGGAGATGCCAATTGTGGCCATGCTTTCCATAGATGGCACTCATCTGGGCATGTGATTGGGAAATGGATGGATGACATAATAGGGAACGCTCAGATATGTTGGCCTCTGTGGTCTTTCTCCCTTCATGATTAAGAGACCTGCCGGACCCTTAGGGCCAGAGCCACTGGGTTGGGAGAAAACTGAGTATGCATTCACCATGGTCTGTTAGTGGCCAAGGCAACGTGATTTCTAGGCCTGGATGGGGGCTTGATCAACTCATGGTGATTGCTCAGTATCTCAGGCCCCAGCCCCATGACATCATCCTAGAATCCTAAGTTCTTGGTTCCAGTGAATGGGGTGAGAGTGGTAATGGCTCAGGGCAGTTTCTCCCTGTTGCTAGAAGATTGAACCTGATCACAGAACTCCCGTAGCATCCTTCTCGTGTGAAAAGGCCAGCTGGGAACTCTCAAGCAAACCTCCCCGCTGCCATCTGGCTGCAGGTGCTGAATGAGGATGGGTACTCCTCTACCATCAAGGACAAGATTCTCACGATTGATGTGAAACCTGGTTGGAGGCAGGGCACACGGATCACCTTTGAGAAGGAAGGGGACCAGGTGAGAAGGAGGTAACTGGACTGGGGTCAGTCCTAGCATCAGTCACCCGGGCTTACTCATGTCGTGGGAAGCCTGAGGTGGAAGGAGGCCATGCTTTCTTCTGCCCCATGAGCCCCAGTCTAGTAGGGAGATCAGTCTGCAGAGTGGGTGAGATGATCCCCAAAGTGCTTTACAAGGGACAGAGCCTTGCAATGCCTCTGTGAGTAGATAGCCCAGGACTTTCCCCCATTTTGCGGAGTAGGAAATTGAGGCCCAGAGAAGGAATGGATTTGCCCAGGGCAAGAGCACAAGAGCTCCTCTTGATTTTCTTCAGTGCTTCCTGAATAAGGCCCAACTATAGGAGCTATTCAGAAACCACTTATTAATAATAATTTTAGTACTATTTAATATCTTCATGATAATTACTTATTTAAATAAAAATATAAAATTATTCTTCAAGGCATGCTGTTATCCTTAGCTCTGAGAAGATGCAGAGTGATGGCATTTTCAGAGCCAAGGGAGATTAATTCCTCTGCCCATACTTCTTGCTCCCTTTCTCACTCGTGAAACATCTACTTCCAAAACACCCCCTTCAGGACCCAGTCTAATGCTTCTTCTGGCTCTGGGCAGCCTCCCCTGACCTCTTCACCTGGGTCAGGGCCTCTCTGATCTTCTGCCTCTGTGTTCCTTTGACCACAGTCCTCAGAACTGTGTGTCTGTTCCCCCTACTGAACTGGGAGCTCTTTGCTGGCAGGGACCACTTTGACTTCTCTGCCCCCAGTGCCCAGAAGATACCTTAGCAGAGTTTTGGTGACTTAATGAAGCTTGGCAGCACAGAGCCATGTAAGAAGTTGTTTTCAAAACTTGTAGCTCAGCATTTTGCCCACCCACTGGGGAAGGCTCTGACTCTCTCCAGCTGAGTGAATCCTGTTGGTATGCTCAATAGAGGGGAAGTGAAGGGTGGGGGAGGGGTGGATTAATTGGAGCAGGCTTCTCAGAGGAGGGCCTGTAGAGCCAAACTGAAAAAGTCCTTCCAGAAAACCTAGTTTAATCTTCATTGTTCAGAAGAAGACATGGGGACCCATAGACACAGGAACTTGGGCAATGTCACACAGGCAGTTAGTCCTTGTCACCCCTTGGCCTCCTCCGCCCAGGGCCCCAACATTATCCCAGCCGACATCATCTTCATTGTAAAGGAGAAGCTACACCCTCGCTTCCGCAGGGAGAATGACAACCTCCTTTTTGTGAACTCCATTCCCTTGGGCAAGGTGAGTAGGCAAAGTGGAGGGATGGACATGGGCAGATGAGAGTGAGCAAGCAGGCCTCACTCTGCACTCTCCCCAGCGCATATGGTGCAGGCCTTCAGAGCATGAGGAGTGCACATAGAACCTTTGTGGCTGTCTTCAGGTTCCCTCCGTGTCCTCACGATCCAAGCAACGAACAGCACCAGCCTAGGCTTTGCCTCCCCCCCACACCCCCCAACTGCAGGCGGTCACTCCATCAATTCCACCACCTGGCCCACTTCTGTTCATTCCCACTGCCTGAGTCTGAGCACCTGGGTCTGCACAGCAGCCCCCCCCCCCCCTGCCCCTTCCTTTGGTGGCCCTTCTGCCTCCTTCCCATCTCCCCTAGGCTCTTCCCCACGCTCGTCTGACTGTGCCACACGCCTGTTGAAGCATCTTCACATGGCGTTCAAGGCCTTCCACACCCTGCCTCTGCCGATCTCATCCCCTGCAAGCCAACCACCGTGCCCCTCGGAGCTCCTGTCCGTTGGGAGCATTTTCACACCTCCAGTCTCTTGTTTGTGCTGGGCCCTCTGTGTGGAATGCTGTGTATCCACCTTGTCTGACTGGCAGGCTCCTCTTCACCCCCATCAACTGCTACCACCACTGCATAGCCCTCCCGTTCCACTCCACGATAGTTTGGGGGCCTCTCCTTGGCTCCCGCAGACCTCTTTACTTCCCTCTATCATCATCAGTTTAACCTATGAGACCATGAACTCCTGAGGGCAGGCAGTTGCCTGGCTCGCTCCCTTTTAGTCCCTGAATATCCTTTTGTCTGGCACTGAATAAGCTCATAAAATGCCTTCTAAAGAGAATGGCCAGGATGACCTCTCATACCCCTACCTGTGGTCCTAATGTCCCCTAGGCTCTGACATGCTGCACCGTGGAGGTGAAGACCTTGGATGATCGTCTGCTCAATATCCCCATCAACGACATTGTCCAGTGAGTGCGTCTGCCTGGGACCCAGTAGGCAGAGGGGCTGGCCTGGGCCTGAGGGTGGTGCAGACAGGTCAGCCTGGGGCAGTTCAGTCCTCACCAGAAAGGACTGAAATCGAGCCCCAACTCTGGCCAAGCTGCATTCACCTGGTAAACGGAGTCCCTTTTTTCTAACTTGTACAAGGCCCCTCAGAGCCCAAAGATGCAGAGGTGGTCTTTGTTGCCTTCCTCCTCCCGAACCTCTCGTTAGTGTTCTGAGTTGTATCCTTCAAGTCCTTTGCAGGAAAGGCCCTCTGTATGGGAAGCTTTACTCAGCAGTCCAGCACCCCCTCACCCCACCCCAACCTAGGCTGGAACCTCTGTTCCTGGAGCGCTCAGTGTAAATGGTTGTCAGGGAGCAGGCTGTCTGAACAAGCTGATCTTCTCTCCCCTCCCACCAGGTTCTGGCTGCAGAGAGCCACCTGGTGGAAGCTGGGCTGACTGTCCCAAGCCCGAGGTCATATGAGCGTGGGCAGCATGGGGTCTGTCGGAGTGCAGCTTTGGGGAGCCCTCTCATTTCCCTTCTTTCATCCTCCCCTGTCTCAGTCCCAAGTACTTCAAGAAGGTGCCAGGTGAGGGGATGCCACTGCCTGAGGACCCCACTAAGAAGGGGGATCTCTTCATCTTCTTCGACATCCAGTTCCCCACCCACCTCACACCCCAAAAGAAGCATATGCTGCGCCAGGCATTGCTGACATAACTCTGGTGAGCTGAGGGCCGGAGCAGGGGAGGAGAAGGCTAGCTGGGCCTTAACCCATGCCTGTCCCAGGATGTGTGGGTGAGCCAGCCCCCTGCATAGGTGTGACGTGAAGACGGGATGGCCTGGGACTTTTAAACTGACACAATAAAGATGTATTTCCTATCCTCCAGCTGCACCCAGGAGACTGTGTTGGAGGGAGAGGAGCTCCATACATCCCTTCTTGTGGAGCAGAGGGAAGGGCAGGGCCCAGGAAGCCTAGAACCTGGGTTCCTGTCCAGATTTTGTGAGTGTGGCCAGGTCCCTGAGGGTTCAGAGCCTGTGTGCTCCCACCTGATAGGGTGGGGCAGACCTGAGTAACCTCTGCGGGTCCCCACTCTGCTCTGATTTCTCATGACACAAAGTCTTTAGCAGGGGCAGTCTCTAGAGTGTGATATGGTCATATTATAGATAGGAAGAACAGAGAAGAAAACACTTGTCAAGGCCACACAGGGCAAAGATGTTGTCAGAACGTTGAAGGCCACTTCCCAGATTCACCCTGCTTAGAGGCAACACAAAGGACACAGTTCTAGAAATGGCTTTGGTTTCTGCCTCACCAGCTTCAATTCTCATCTATGCAGTGGGTCCTGGACTGCCTCTAGGCAGGGTGGTATGGGAGGCAGAACTGGGTTCTGCTTCTGGCCCTGCCACTGGCACCCCTGGATGTTACTGTGTATAGGCCTCCTGCAGGCTGCTTGTGAGCACTGAGTCATTGTGGTGAACGTGCTTGGTGAACTCACTGCTTACATCTCAAGGTTCCAGGATTGCTGCTGATGTGGCCTCCAGGCCCAGCTGGGCCCGCTCAGACCACACCTGCGTTCCTGGCCTATGTTCCATCAGTCAACAACAGTGTGGCATGCACTTCTGTGCCAGGGCAAAGACTCCTCTCTTTCGAGTCTGGCTTTGGGCTAGGATAGGTCTAAGCTTATGAGAGTAGGTAGCCACTTTTGTAGAACGACTTCAGAGGTATTAGAAAAGACCTCCATATTGTCCATATTGGATTCCTCCATTCAGCACTCTTAGCTCATTTTTCCTTTTTCTTGAACATGGGGCTTGAATTCACAACCCTAAGATCAAGACCTAAGCTGAGACTGAATTGGACGCTTAACCAACCGAGCCACCCAGACATCCCTTAAGGTTCTTTCTTAAATGGGGACTAAGTAGCACCAGTCAGCCATTTTGAAACCATCAGGGAAAACGTGGCAGGAGCCAACCCTGAGACATGTAATTTGGACCAGGGTTCTAGGAAGCACCTGTGCAGTCCTTAAGGCATGTGGGCCTTAGAGTCAGATATATCTCAGGTGTATGCCCTTGGGGGCATACACTCTGCCTCTCTGAGCCTGTTTTTTATAGCAAAGATTGCAACCCCGATCTTGCAGGCTTTCAGGAAACCAGATGAGGAGTGAAGTGGACTCTGCCCTGAGGCAAGGCCTGGGTGGAAGAGTGGTGGTAGTTGCCCTGTGCTGAGAGCAAGTGGGTGCAAATTCTAGCACCCAGGTCTCCTCTCGGCCAGTGGGAAAGCCTGCCTGTAACCTCTTCTCATGGCAAGGCTCTGAAGGAAGCATGGTCTTGGGCCTGATGGAAGATCTTTGTGAAATTTCTATTACCTTGGTGATCTTTAGTGCTACTTCATCTGGCAGGCAAGGCAGGGCTTGTCATTTTTATAGGCTGTGAGGACCAGTTACTAAGTTACCGAGGGCTACTGATATATTGTCCAATGGTTGCTGCCACCCGCCCCAGCTCCTCACTGTCCCAGGATCATGCCCAGAACCATGATGGAGTCTGGTTGCCTTGTTTCCAAGTATCTGGGACACAAGACTGGTGAATGAGTCGGCTGACACACATGCTGAGGGCAACAAATCGGCCATTTCCTCTGGTATAAAACAGTAGCCTCATAGGACTAGTGTGAGAATTAAGGTGCATGAAGTGCAGTGAATAGGTCGGTCCTCCATTTATGCTGACTCCCTGCAGCTCAGCAGAGAACAGGCCCACTGGGTTGCCTACTACCTTCACCTTTGCTAAACTTGTGGCATCCAACCCCATTCCTCTTGGGGACTAGGAGACCCCAGCTCAATTTGTCAGATGTTACAAAGTAAGGGGAGGAATCCTGGGCCCTCTTTCCTGCTCCAGGACTCCCTGCCAAATAATATAATAATACCCCGGCCCCCCTGCCAAAGCACTGCAGGGCGGAGCCTCCAGATCTGACCAATGGGAAGGAGCGATAGTATCAACCGCTTGAGGCTATGGGAAGAGGGAGGTCGCATTCTCTAAGCCTGGCTCCACAGCTGCCTAAGAGACTTTCCGAAGGTCTCCAGCTCTGGTCCCTGGGTGAAGAGGCACAGTGGGGGAGAGGAGCCTGAGTCCTAATCCCAGCTGAGTTGCTGACTTCCTGTGTGTCCTTGCCTGCATGACCTCTTTCAGCCTTCAGTTTCTTCTAACAGCTATACAATGAGCCTCGGTGGCTTAATTCTAAGGGCCTGCTTCTGCACAAGATGCTTCCGGATTCTGGGACTTCACAGAATCCCCTAACCCTTGAAAGAGATGTAGAATCTGCTTTCCTGCCTCTGTGGACAGCTTGTAGAAACAGAGACGGGGAGGCTGACACCCTGGGCAGCCTAAGCCCTGGCTTGGTACTGGCTCCTTGGGATCTCTAGTCTAGGGAGAGGGTGAGTCTCCAAATGAAAGTATCCTCAGGCTGAGGCCTCATGTTTGCCTTGCACCCTGTCCCATCCAGTGTGGTAGTACTGCCGCCTAAGGGTGTGACTGTGGAGGATGAGAAGCAGTCTGACTTGTCCTCACGAGGTCTGGGACTTTGGGGAAGAGGTTTCGATTTGTAGAATGGAATAAAGGAAGTTCACAGCATCTAAAATTCCTAAGTTCCTCTAAATCTTCCAAGGAACACAGGAGATGTCGGGCAGACAGGAGCACACTAATTTTGCAGATCAATAGGCCTGGGGCCAGCTGGAGGCTTAGGAAGACAGGCAGTGGAGCACCTGGCACTGTGAGTGGCAGTTCAAGTGGCCTGGTGACAGCGAAGCTGTGACTCCCAGCTGCTCCTTCACTTGCCACCTAAGCCCCAGGCCTGGTCTGGAAAGAGAAATGGACTTGATGACCTCCACGGGCCCCAGATTGGATGCTGGAAGCAGAAGGAGGGGTCAGACCTCCCTTTCTAAGTCAGGTGGCTCCTCCCCTGTCCACCAGGTGCCTAAAGGGCCGACTGAACCAGGATCTCTGGTAACAGCTATGAGAGAGGGAGGAGACACAAGGTTGAACCTGTTTTATGGGGGACATGCTGGCTGGGGTTGGGGGCAGAACAGAGAGTTGGGCTTGGCTTTTCAAGGGATTGAGGGTTTGGGATCCTGGCCGGTGCCAACTGTGTCAACACAGGGTCAACTGGGTCAACTCTACTAGGACTCTACTACTAGGGAGGCAATGGGGAGACGGAGTAGGGAGGAGAGGGTAAGAGTGTGGGGACAGGAAAGGAAGGTGGTGGGAAAGGGAGTGGAAGGAAGGGGTGAGGAGAGAGGGAAGGGAAGTAGGGCCTGGCTGGAGCCAGAGCCAGAGGTTGGGTCAGCAGCAGGAGACACTCAAAAGGGAGCTTCCCGGGAAGTGCAGGCAGCCGTGAGAGCCCTTTTGAGCTGCTCATAGGTGACAAACATCACCACGTTCCAGGAACCCAAACGGAGAAAGGAGGGCATGAACCTAGAAAGCAGAAAACACAGGTCACAGGGAGCACCTTGGTGACTCCTGAGGGCACTTCACCTCTCACCCCAGCGGGCCATAGTATCCAATCCAACCCAGTTGCTCTGTCCCAAAGGAGGTTGTGAGGGCCCAGGGTAGAGCCCCATAGCTATGCGGCTGTGAGCAAGAAGCCCCTGTGAGTCTCCATTTTAATACCCATCAAGTAGGAGTGACAATTCTGGGAAGAAGTAGTTAAGAGCATGAGAGAATGTCAGTGAAATAGTAAGACCAGGATCAGAATAGTTTGACACCTGGTTGCTAATTAGTTCCAGGTGGTTCTCTCCCACCTGTGTATAGGTTTGGGTAGCTAGGAGGCTCGGGATTGGGTGGAGTGGATCAAAGCCTCACCCTTTGTAGAAGGCTCGGGGACCCTCCTTCTGGAGCATGGTAAGAGCACAGTGGCCAGCGCTGCTGTACTGGCCCAGGGCAGAGTTCATATATCTCGTCTTGACCACGTCGACGGGAGAGGCGATGACAGTGGTGCAGAAGCCCGCCCCAAAGGCGCAAGTGAAGTGGCAAGGGAGGTCATCTGCCAAGGAGGAGCAGGAGAGGCAGTCAGGACTCCTTACGTCATCATTCCAGAAGGGAGGAGATTACCAAAGTAGCTTAGGGGTTCTATGGTTTTAGAGAGAGAGATGCCAGCTGGGACCTCTCCTGATGACCTAAGAGTCATTTTGCCTAGAGTCTAGCCTCAGTACCTCAGTGAGCAGTGGGAGCTTCATTCCAGCTGGCTTCACTATGGTACATCTAAACTCACTCCACAAGCAAAGGGGAAATAGGATGAAGGGATGTGGCAACCAGACCCCCACATCTGATCCTAGGTTGGGGGAAGGCCAAGACCCAGAAGCATTGACACTAAATCACCTGTCATGAGGTTGGCTTTCAGGAGGGCATCCTTGATGAGATCGTAGGTCACCAGTTCAGCGCAGTTGACAATGGCATTACGAGCAACATTGGGAGAGGTCCCTACAGGAAGAAAGAATGTGAGATCAGAGAATAGGGGAGGAGGAAGATGGGGAAGAAGAAACACCTGGTACATACCTTTCCAGAGTCCCCGGAACCCTTCCTCTCGGGCAATGGTCTTGTAGGCATCAACAGTGCTTTGGTATCTCCGGCTACCTCCAGCCCGGGCCTGAGCCTGGAATCTGACCTTTACTACATCCGTGGGCTGGGCCACTGCCACAGCCAAGGCCCCTGTGGTGCCGCCTGCCAGGAGGCGGCTCCCGATGCCGGCATCTGTGGGAGAACCATGGGGGTCAGTGCCCAGCTGGGATTGTACTAATTTCCCATCTCTCTTCACTAAAACTACCTCATCACTGTAATCTCTTGCCTTTTGGGACTAGGATCCAGACAAGCTCTTGCTCTATAAACTTGCATCAAAGACAATAACACCATGCATGTCTACTACTTGCTAGGCACTGGGACATAGCAAGGAGTGGAACAAAATGAGACCTAGCTCAATGGGGTAAATCACCATCATTTCCATTTGACAAACATGAAAACCAAGGCTCAGTGAGAAGTGGCCTTCCCAAGGCCTTGGATTCATAAGACTTGGGTTCTCATGCCAGACCTATTTCTCCCTGCCATGTTATCTTGGGAAAAGTTAATCTTTCGATCTGGGTTTTCAGTTTTCACATGTGTAAAATGGAGGGTGGGCACAGCATGCTGAGGAGGTAAAATGAAAGAGTGTTAGCCGTGGAGGCAAACGTCCTGGGTATGTTTTCTGGCTCCCCACTGTGTGCCCTTGGCCAAGTCCTTTCCACCCAGCAAGGCTGAGTCTTCATCTGTAATATGGGGATGATACCACCTACTCTCAGAGTAGTGGTGGGGACTGTCATGGGATGATGCCCCACACAGAGCTTGGCACAGCCCAGGTGCTCAGGAACATTAGGAGAATCAAGGTCCCTTCTAGTTCTCAGTTCTTCTGATCCTCCTAGGGATCTTGGAGCCTAAAAGAGCTATCAGCAAATTATCAATTAAGGATGATTTGATTGGATTGTTCATCACTAAGGAGGAAAGGTCAAGGGGCCCATGGCCCAGCTCCACACTCACGCTCAGAACCCTTGGTGTAGAACTGCTTGACGGAGTCATAGAGGCCGATGCGGACAGAGGCAAAGCTCATCTGGCGCTGCAGGCCAGCGACCAGCCCGTTGTAGAGGCTACAGGGGCCCTCAGTGCGCACCATGGTCAGGATGGTGCCCAGCACGCCACGGTACTGGGCACCGGCTGTGGCCTGCACTAGCCCCTGCCTTTCTCCTTGGATCTGCAAGGCCAAGATGGGTGGTTATGGGGGTAGGAAGGTTGCCCTCCCCATCTCCTGCTATCCCTACACTTCAAAGTTGACACAGTCCCAATCACCCCACCGGCCCTTAAGGAGTCTACATCTTGGGGCAGAGCAGACTAGACAACATTGGGAACCCCAGGCTTTATCCCCTCACCTGCAGCCGGACTTTAGCGGTGTCCAGAGGAAAGGTGATGAGATCTGCAATGCAGGCAGCTGTGCCAGCCCCCAGGAACTTCACAGTGGCAGTAGGGGGTACATCTGTAGCCTTGAACCCAACCATAATGCTGATTTTCTGCTATCTCCCAGGAGATGGAGAAGGGGGCACCTTCAGTCAGCAACAAGACGAGATAGAGGAACTCTGCCAGAATCTAAGCCAAGGAGAGAGAAGCCCCATTAGCAGCAGCATGCCCAGTCCCTCCCTGCTTCCTTCCCCCACCTCCACCTTCCCTGACGGCACCACCTCCCTACGCACGAACCAGAGCAACGTCATGAAGGAAAACAGGAGTGAGCTCTGGAGGTACTCAAGTAGGGGCTGGAGAAGCAATTCCTGCTTGAGAACACATTTTGTGAAGAGCCCCCTCCCTTTAACTACAGGGAGAGTCTGGATCAGGGCTATCTTAGTGCTAACAAATGGGCACTGACTCATCTTTTTGTCTGCTGGGTGCAGGGATTTCACTGACGATACCCACATGCCTGCTTCTACAGATCTGTCTGGAGGACAGGCAGAGGTGGGGAAAAGGGTTCAGTCACACCAAGACCTGAGAAAGGCACAAACTCATAGGCTTATGCCCTGGATTTCTTAAGCAGGAGAGGTTCCTATGGGCCTGAAATTGTCTGAGTCTAGAAGAAAAGGAATGGACAAGACCAGTTCAATCCCTTCGCAGCCCAGTCGAATTCTCCTCCCCAGCTCCACACAACTTGGGCTCTCTAGAGTCATTCTTTCAACAAGACTGCTTTGCTGGGTGCTGGTTCACTGAGATGCAGGAGACTATTAATATCGACCTTAGATGGGGCTTACTGTCCGGCAAAGGGGATGGACAGGTGATTCAAGCTGCATTTGGGGCTTGCAGGTCATATTCTCAAAATCAGAGGGAACAACTAACTCCATCAGGAGAGAGGTAATATTTAGCTGGGCCTTAAAGGATCCTGGACAACTCTCAGGGCTGAAAGTAGGTACACAGACACTGGACTGTCTCCCCCTGGCCTACTGTGTGGGGCCTACTGTCTCGCTCTCTGGCCAGTTTCCTCTTCTTCAACAAAGGGGATCCACATCTTCACCACAGTGGGGGCAGGGATAGGGAGGTGCAGGTCACAGCTACAAAGACAGGAAACCGAAAGCTCTACTTTGTTCTCAGAGTTGAACAACACTCTTCTCTGCTGCCTCTGCTACCCAGGGAGGAAGTGAGCCCAGCACCCCAGTGGGGGAGGGTGACCTTCTCTCTTCCCAGAGATCACTTTTCTCACTTCACTTCACCAGGAGCAGCTGCTCTGAGCCCAGCCTGATTGGCTGCCCATGTGGCCTGACTGGCTGCCCATGTGGCGGGGGCCATAAGGAAAATGCTGGCCAGCAGAGGGAGGATGTGGTTGGAGTGAGTTGTGAACACAAAGACCCATAGAAACAAACAGCTCACAACTTTTTCTTCTTGAGCTTCTCACTCCAGATGGCTGGGACCAACAGGGCAGAGGCTACTCACCACTCAATTGCATCCGGATCTACTATAGGCTGGGGCCTAGTCTTAATGGAGTTTCTCTGGAGCCTGGCCCACGTGAGGCTCAGGAAAGATTGGCATGCAAATGGCAGAACTGTTTTTTCAGCCCCTGGCACAGGCTGAGCTTTTAACAAGGAAGTCTAACACCCATGCCAATTTGACAGTTCTGAGAAGGTTCAGGCAAAGAATGCCCCTTCTCTGGGCATCAGAGACATGAAAAGTGAGTCTATCCTATCTTGACCTTGAGTTGGGTCGCAGTGTTGTGAGGCCAGAAAAGAAGACCCAGCCTCTGTCCATCTCAAAGACAAGTGCACAGAGGCTCAGTTGCCATTTTGAATGTTGCTTTGGGTTTGTCAGGTCTTTCAGAGGTTGAGCATGGGGGCTATGGTCACTTGTGCTAAAGACCCTACTAAGAAGAGAAAATAAAACTCAGGCCTCAGGAATTGTCCTAGCTCTGCTGCTGACTCTCAGGATGACCTAGGACTAATCACTGTCTCATCTAGGCTTCATTTTCTTCCTTTGTAAATATGGGGACCACCATACCTGGCTTGTCAAGGTCAGCTTAAAGGACAGAATGAGACCAGAGATAAAGGAAAGTGCTTTGTGAATTCTGAAGAGCAACTTCACTAGGGTGGTGGTAGTTATTTTTGCAAATGTCCCACTGATCCCCACCCGCAGGCCAAAGTGCTAGTAGGCAGTAGAAGACCTTTCCCTTAGAGCGGATTTTTACCTGGCTTTGTAAGGTCTCACGCTGAGGCCTCCAAGATCAAGCTTCTCTAAAGGCATCCCATTCTTCAAAGCTGCCAGTGGCTATCATGGTCCGATCCCCTTGGTTTTCCATAGAAAATGGCTGGGAGACGAAACACCTAATAGACATACTATGTGTCCTGTGGAGGGAGGGAAAGAGGAGTTAGAAAGGAAATATGCCTTAAAGGATCATACCCCAGCAAGGAAAGGGCCACCTGCCCAAGGCACACAAGCCCACTCAGCCCTTAAGGGTGAAGGTGGGGAGGAGTAAGGAACAGGGTCCATTTCACCCAGGGTAGCTGGGGACTAATTAAGTACACACTGAGGGGGGAATTGAGCCCAGGAGCCCCCCTCTCCTGTCTGCTCTCTTAGTAGACACATTGAGTCTTCCAGATTTCTGCTTTAGTGGCACTCTATAAAGAAGCATCTTCCCAGCTGTCAGCAGATTCTGGTGAGTGGGAGTGTTGTAAGGGGGTCATGATAGGTCAGAGACTTGCCGAGAATCCACTAGGACCCAACCACGAGCCGTGAGGAAGTTAGAGGGGCTGGGAAGGGGCCCTGCTCAAAACCTTCTCTCAGCCTGGGGAATGGAAGGTCGTTCTGGTCGTCGCAGTAGCGCCGAAGGCCCCCACCCAAAAGCCGGCCTGGGCATCTTGGCCGAGGGGAGAGAGTAGATGGGTGGAGGCTTAAATTATTGAGACAACTGAACGTGAGAGGTAAAGAACAAAAGGGAGAGAGAAAAAGAGTGAAAGCAGAGAGAAAAGGAAAAAGAGGACGGAGAGGAAAAATTGAAGACAGGCTGGGAGAAGGGGAGAGAAATTAAAGAGAAGGGCGCGCGCGGGTCCTCGCTGGCAGGGGAGCGGGCGCAGGGCTGGGGCGGGCGGGGCCCGGGCTCACCGGGCCGAAGGGAGAACCAGAGCGTGCGGGCAACTCTGCTGTCTGTCGGCGGGCGGAGGGCGCGTGGAGGCTGCGCAGACAGCACGCAACCCGAGAACGTGTCCAGCGAGTTTACAGGGGTCGGAGGAGGCTGCAGCGCTTTAGGTCTCGGGGGCGGGGCCTGCGAGGCGGGGCGGGGCCGGAGGGGCGGGGCCTGCGACGCGGGGCCGGCGGGGCGGGGCCTGCGACGCGGGGCCTCTAGCCACCGCCTTTCAGCAAGGGCTGTCCTGCCTAAAATTCTGTGCGCTCGTTCCTCTACTCCCATGTCCGTGCAGGCGGATCCCCGAAGGATCACTTTCTCTCTATCCGCCTCACACGTCCCGGTTCCGCCAGCCTCTTGGTGAGAATGGCAAGGCGGACGCCCGGAAAGAAGCAGAAGCTTCCCAGGGTCACACACGCCTCTGCCCCCTCTGTACCCCGCCAGGGCTCTTTCTAACAACGCCCCAGAACCTCGGGTGAGAGCGTTCTCCCTCTTTTCACCGGCCAGTCCCCAGAACTTCGGCCTCCGGAGGCTCCCGCGGGGCGGGGCCTCGCAACTGGTTAAAGCCGTCGCGCTGCGGGAGGAAGGAGCCAATCCGAGGTGCAGCGGCAGGTGGCGGGTAACCGCCAACGGCCACGGGGCGCGGCTGGGCTTCCGGACTACGCCCGCGGCCCCCTGGCCTTGCCCCGGGGGATCCTGGGGACTTCCCGCCTGGGCGGTACGGAGGCACAGAGCGTGACGTTCCTTCCCCCACTTACACCCGGGTTCGCGGGTGAGAAGGCCGAACAGGGCCCCGGCCTGCTGCGCGCCCAGCCTGGCGATGAGAAAGTGACTTAGATGAGCTGAACCTGGGTTGTCCTCAGGCAGCTGAAGTCTTGTTGGGGTGATAGAGATAGACGCGCAAAAAAACAGTAACTGTGCCCTGCGGCTGGGACCAATATAACGTTTGGGGAGTAGAGTGAGATAGGACTCTGGTCGCCCTTGGCGTCTCCCTTTCTTTCTATGTTTTTGTGCTTGCTGGCCTCCCAGGACCATTGAAAGGATTAATCGAAGTAGAGGAAGCCGTCTCCCTGACTAGATTGTAAACTTTTCGAGAGCAGGAAGCTATTTCCTGTATATTTAGTATCACAACACGCTAAGGGCCTGCATATAGTAGATTGTGTGCGTGCTGTTTGGGCTGCTGTTGAAAACGTATCAAAAAGTGTAAATGGGAGGATCAAAGTAGACGAACATTTGGCGGCTGCAATTACTGTGTTCACATTCAGTGTCACGTAATCCTGCGAGGCTGATAATAACCTCAGTTTTACAGACGAGGAAAGAGTCTCAAAGAAGTTACATCACCTGCGTAACATCACACAGCTGGGAAGCGGCGAGCTGTGATGTAATCCGGGTTTACCAGCCTCCATGTGTTTGTTTTCTGAATTGTCCACAAGCAAGAAATGTCAGCTGAAAATAACTGGAATGGGACTGGATAATTATAGCAGGAAAGAAGAACACTGAGCACGTGGTCCTGGCAGGAGCCGAAGCTAAGTGGAAACTGAGAAGTCAAGCTGGAGAATTATTTCTGGCACCGTGGAGTCTCCCATCCACTAGCCGGTCTAGCTTTTGCACAGTATTCTGTGTCTTGCTGTAATGAAATGATTCCCAGATTGCTCTGTGACTGGTGGTGAAACTGCTGAACTTGAGGAGACAGAAAGAACAGGATGGAACCAATGGCCTCAAAATGAAAGCATCACCCTGATTGCCAAAACAGGGAAGAATTGACCAAAGACTATATAGCCATGAGATGTTTGTTCATACCTGGCAAGATTTAAGGGCTGTTAAAAAGACGATGTGTGAACATTTAAAAAAGAAAGGAGAGAGTACCAGGACCCAGCATGGATTTCTTAAGAAGAAATCCTGTTAAATTCTCTTAACACAAGAGTTTGAAAACAAGACTAAACAAGCCCTCCCGGCCCCAAATTATCTTTTATTTTGGACGGAGCCAAGCAAATTAGAGCAATGCTACTGACACTGTATCTGTGGATTTTTAGCAAGCAGCTTGTCCAAGTCATAAGATGTCCTTAGACAATGTTGGATACAGGTAAGTGCATTTTAAAAGCTTATTTCAGGGGCACCTGGGTGGCTTAGTCGGTTAAGCGTCCGACTTTCGCTTAGGTCATGATCTCGCGGTTCGTGGGTTCGAGCCCCGCGTCGGGCTCTGTGCTGACTGCCAGCTCAGAGCCTGGGGCCTGTTTCAGTCTGTGACTCCCTCTCTCTCTGACCCTCCCCTGCTCACGCTGTCTCTCTCTCTCTCTAGAAATAAATAAAACATTTAAAAAAAAAAAGGTGTGAGTTTAAAAAAAAATAAATAAAAGCTTATTTCACATTTGTTTCATTAAATACATATATACCGCAGTTCATTTGTAAATGTATGTGCAAATAATGAAATTGACAAAGTTTACAATGTTGATATCATACCGGAAAACAACCCACCATATTTACAGTTTTGAAAATTTAACATTTTGTTTTTTTTATTAAAAAAATTTTTTTTTACGTTTATTCATTTTTTGAGAGACACAGAGAGACAGAATGTGAGTGGGGGAGGGGCAGAGAGAGAAGGAGACAGAGAATCTGAAGCAGGCTCCAGGCTCTGAGCTGACAGCACAGAGCCCGAAGCGGGGCTCGAACTCATGGGCAGTGAGATCATGACCTGAGCTGAAGTCAGATGCTTAACTGACTCAGCCACATAGGCGCCTTGAAACTTTAACACTTTAAATACAAACTGTTTGAAATACTTAAAATGAAAAAGACAAAAGAATGCCAAAGAAAATTGAAAACATCAGATAATTAAACCAACATGAGAAACTACTAAACATTTCAGATATCTCTGGTAATTTAAAAATATTGAGTAGGTGCACTTGTGGGGATGAGCACTGGGTGTTATATGGAAACCAATTTGACAATAAACTATTTGTAAAAAAAAATATTGAGTAGGTGGCTATGTTAAAACCCCCCAATAAACACAAAATTATCTGATTGCATTTTTTAGAAGTTTAGTAATTTTATTTTATTTTTTAAAATTTATTTTTTAATTTATATCCAAATTAGTTGGCATATAGTGCAACAGTGATTTCAGGAGTAGATTCCTTAATGCCCCTCACCCATTTAGCCCATCTCCCCTCCCATAATCCCTCCAGTAACCCTCTTTTGTTCTCTGTATTTAAGAGTCTCTTATGTCCCCCTGTCTGTTTTTCTATTATTTTTCTTCCCTTATGTTCATCTGTTTTGTATCTTAAATTCTTCATATAAGTGAAATCATATATTTATCTTCTCTAATTTTGCTTAGCACAATACCCTCTAGTTCCATTCATGTGGTTGCAAATGGCAAGATTTCATTCTTTTTGATTGCCGAGTATTACTCCATTGTATATATATTACCACATCTTCTTTATCCATTCATCCGTCGATGGACATTTGGACTATTTCTATATTTTGGCTATTGTTGGTAGCACTGCTATAAACACTGGGGTGCATTTGTCCCTTTGAAACAGCTCACCTGTATCCCCTGGATAGATACCTAGTAGTGCAATTGCTGGGTTGTAGGGTAGATCTAGTTCTAGTTTTTTGAGGAACCTCCATACTGTTTTCCAGAGTGGCTGCACCAGTTTGCATTCCCACCAGCAGCGCAAAAGAGATCTTCTTTCTCTGCATCCTCGACAGCATCTGTTGTTGCCTGAGTTGTTAATATTAGCCATTCTGACAGGTGTGAGGTGATATTTCATTGTGGTTTTGATTTGTATTTGCCTGATGATGAGTGACGTTGAGCATTTTTTCATGTGTTGGTTGGCCATCTGGAGAAGTGTCTGTTCTTTGGAGAAGTGTCTATTCATGTCTTTTGCCCATTTCTTTACTGGATTATTTGTTTTTTGGGTGTTGAATTTGATAAGTTCATTATAGATTTTGGATACTAACCTTTTGTCTGACATGTTGTTTGCAAATATCTCCTCCCATTCCATCGATTGCCTTTTAGTTTTAGTGATTGTTTCCTTCACTGTGCAGAAGCTTTTTATTTTGATGAGGTCCCAATAGTTCATTTTTGCTTTTGCTTCCCTTGCCTCCAGAGACGTTTTGAGAAAGAAATTGCTGTGGGCAGGGTCTAAGAGGTTTTTGTCTGCTTTCTCCTCGAGGATTTTGATGGCTTCCTGTTTTACATTTAGGTCTTTCATCTGTTTTGAGTTTATTTTTGTGTATGGTGTAAGAAAGTGGTTGGTCCAGGTTCATTTTTCTGCTTGTGGCTGTCCAGTTTTCCCAGCACCATTTCCTGACGAGACTGCCTGTATTCCATGGGATATTTTTTCCTGCTTTGTCAAAGATGAGTTGGCCATACATTTGTGGGTCCATTTCTGGGTTCTCTATTCTGTTCCATGGATCTGAGTGTCTGTTTTTGTGCCAGTGCCATACTGTCTTCATGATTACAGCTTTGTAATATGTTTTAAAGTCTGGGAGTGTGATGCCTCCAGCTTTGGTTTTCTTTCCCAAGATTGCTTTGGCTATTCGGGGTCTTTTGTGATTCCATACAAATTTTAGTATTGCTTGTTCTAGCTCTATGAAGAAGGCTGGTGTTATTTTGATAGGGATTGCATTGAATATGTAGATTGCTTTGGGTAGTATTGACATTTTAACAATATTCTTGCTATCCAGGAGAATGGAATATTTTTCCATTTTTTGGTTTCTTCTTCAATTTATTTCAGAAACTTTCTATAGTTTTCAGTGTATAGATTTTTCACTTCTTTGGTTAGATTTATTCCTAGGTATTTTATTGATTGCAAGTTTTTAAATTTTAACTTTTAATTTCTTTAAAGTTTATTTATTTTTGAGAAAGATAGAGACCGCACAAGTGAGGGATGGGCAGAGAGAGAGGGAGACAGAAAATCTCAAGCAGACTCAGCCCTGTCAGCATGGAGCCCAGTATGGGGATCGAACTCACAAAAGCATGAGATCATGACCTGAACCAAAACCAAGAGCCAGACGCTTAACTGACTGAGCCACTCAGGCTCCCCTGATTGCATTTTTAAAAAGATTTTGTTTTTAAGTAATCTCTACACCCAACTTGGTGCTTGAACTCACAATCCCAAGACCAAGAGTCAAATGTTCCACCAACTGAGCCAGCCAGGTGTGCCTGACTGCCTATTTTAAAAAAAGAAATCAAGAAGTGCCTGGATGGCACAGTCAGTTGAGTGTCTGACTTCAGGTTAGGTCATGCCCCTGCCTGCCTCAGGCCCTGTGCAGAGCATGGAGCCTGCTTCAGAGTCTTTCCCTCCCTCTCTCCCTGCCCCTCCTCTGCTGTGGGTGCACGTGTGTGTACAATCTCTCTGCCCCTCCCCAATGCTCCCTCTCTAAATAAATAAATAAACTTAAAAAAGACAATAAAAAATCTTTACTGAATCTTCACTGGCAAGTAACAAATCCTATATATATATTTTTAAGTTTGTTCATTTATTCTTTTTTTTAATTTAAATGTTTGTTTATTTTTGAGAAAGAGAGAGACATAGCATGAGCGGGGTGGGGGCAGAGAGGAAGACACAGAATCTGAAGCAGGCTCCAGGCTCTAAGCTGT